TGACAAGTCGGTCCCCTACTACCGTCTCTTCCCCTACCGCACTCCGTCCCTCCCCCCGCGTCCGCTCTTCCTTGTGCCAGGTCCCCCCCCCGGTAGACTCCCAGGTCTTGCCCCTTCAGGTGTGTCCTAGGTAGACACAGTTGAGCCTGTCGAGGTTGCTGGTGACTAAGGTGCTGCTGAGGGTGCTGAGCCTGGGGGTGCTGACTCTGGGGGTGCTGAGCGTGTGGGTGCTACTCGTGGGGGTGCTGAGCCTGAGGGTACTACGACTGGGGGTGCTGATCCTCAGGGGTGCTGAGCCTGGGGGTGCTGAGTCTGGGGATGCTGAGCCTGGGGGTGCTGAGCCTGGGGGTCCTGAGCCTGGGGGTGCTACGCCTGGGGGTGCTCAGCCTGGGGGTGCTACGCCTTGGGGTGCGGAGCGTGAGGGAGCTGGGCCTGCTCGTGTGGCGTCTGGCGGTGCTGTGCCTGGCGTTTCTCCGGGTGCTTCGTCTCGGCGGGAGCCACTCTCTCCACAGGAGCTGTGCGAGTGGTATGCCCGGGGCTGGAGGCGTGCTGCTAGAGCTGGAGTTTCTTCGGCTGCTGAGGGTGCTGGTGCCGCAGGTCCCGGAGGTGCTCGTACAGGGAGTACTGGAGCTGCTGGGCTTGCAGGTACTTCTGGAGCTGGAGCTGCTGAGGGTGTTGGCGCTGAGACTACTGCTGTCGGTCCTGGAGGCGGTCCTCTTGGGGGTGCTACTGGTGCTGCTGAAGGTACTGGAGCTGGAGGTGCTGCTAACGCGGGTGCTACCCTTGGGGGTACTGGTGGTGTCCCTGCTGTGTCTGGAGTCGCCGCGCGGCCTTGGCCGTACTTCGTTCCGCTCCTTCAGCAGGTTCTAGGTCTCCCGCCTTCTACTGGTCCTCCGCCTCCCTTAGAGTGCCCACAGCTTGTCCCGTTACAGTTACAGTTACAGCCGGCCTCCCCACTGCCAGCTCCTTCTCCCTACACTGGTCCTACTGGAGGTCTTGCTGAGCATCGTGAGCCTGCGTCTCGCCCTGCGTCGCCTGTCCGTGCTGCTCGCACTAGTGGTCGTGGTTCACGTTAGCGTCCTCCTCCTGTCCCTGGCAGGCATCGGATGTCTCTGCGTCCGTCCACTGCTCCTCTGCGTGCCCCTTTGCCTTCTCCTCCTGAGTCCTCTCTTCCTGCTCTTCTTGACCCAGAGTCGGACTCTCTTAGTGCTGCCAGTCCTACTGTCACGCGTCTCCTTGCTACTGTCGTCACTGACACTTCCTTTGAATCCACCGCTGCGTCTGCCCTAGTTGCTGAGCTCGTCGACTTTGCTGCTCGCTGTCGTCTAGACTACGCTGCTAGTCTTGTCGCTGAGTCTGAGTCTGTCTGTCCTCCGTCCGTCCGGGATGAGTGTGCCCTTGGCACGGACGTCCTTGAGGACAGGCAGGAAAAGTTCCAGTGTTTGGCTGCTGCTTCACCTCATCTTGTGTCGGTACTGCTTACCCCTGAGGGAGACCCGGATGCACTTGACATCCCGACTCCGCGCTCTTACGCGGAGGCGATAGAGGGTCCCTACTCCTCTCAGTGGCAGGCAGCTATGGACACAGAGATGGCTTCCTGGAAGTCCACAGGCACCTACGTTGACGAGGTTCCCCCGCCTGTGGGGAACATCGTCAGTGGCATGTGGATTTTCAGGGTGAAGCGGCCGGCGGGTTCTCCGCCTGTCTTCAAGGTGCGTTACGTGGCTCGTGGCTTCAGTCAGCAGTAGGGAGTTGACTACTTTCAGACCTTCTCTCCCACCCCGAAGATGACCACTCTTTGGGTACTGCTGCACATAGCTGCTCACCGTGACTACGAGCTGCACTCTCTTGACTTCAGCACTGTTTTCTTGCAGGGCAGCTTGCACGAGGAGATGTGGCTGCGTCGCCCACCTGGCTTCACTGGGTCTTTTCCTCCTGGCACCCAGTGGAGCCTCCGGCGGCCAGTCTACGGTCTCCGCCAGGCACCGCGTGAGTGGCACGACACACTGAGGACTACACTTGCGGCTCTTGGGTTCGCTCCCTCTACTGCCGACCCGTCGCTGTTTCTGCGCACCGACACTTCTTTGCCGCCGTTCTACATCCTCGTGTTCGTCGACTTTGGTCTTTGCCACAGCTGACACTGCTGGACTCACCCGCATGAAGTCCGAGCTATAGAAGAGACACACGTGCACTGGGTGAACTGCGCAGCTATCTTGGCTTGCAGATCACCCAGGACAGAGCACGCCGCACCATTACCCTGACTCAGTCACACATGGTGCAGCAGGTCCTTCAGCGCTTCAGCTTCACGTACTCCTCGCCTCAGGCCACTCCTCTACCTACTCGCCACTCGCTCTCAGCTCTGCCTTCGGATGAGTCCGTAGAGTCGAGTGGCCTGTACCCAGAGCTTGTTGGCTGCCTCATGTACCTGATGACCTGCACACGACCTGACCTTACATACCCTCTTAGCATTCTTGCACGCTATGTTTCTCCTGGGAGATACAGACCGGAGCACATGGCTGCAGCGAAGAGGGTGTTGCGCTACTTGTGCAGTACGTCGGGCATGGGGCTTGTGCTTGGAGGGTAGAGTCCAGTGGTCCTCACTGGGCACGCAGACGCTTCTTGGGCTGACGACCAGGCTACTCAGCGGTCGTCACAGGTTTGCACCTTCAGCCTTGGTTCCGGCTCTGTTTCGTGGCGGGCTACGCGCTCGTCTTCTGTTCTCGGCTCCAGTTGTGAGGCTGAGATCTACGCAGGAGCCATGGCTGCACAGGAGCTTCGCTGGCTCACCTACCTGCTGACTGACCTCGGAGAGCCGCCTCGTTCTCCTCCAGTCCTGTACGTAGACAACAAGGCCATGCTGGCCTTGTGTCGGGAGCAGCGACTGGAGCATTGAACGAAGCACATTGCTCTCCGCTACTTCCTTGTTCGTGAGCTGCAGCAGCGTGGTCAGCTGCGCCTTGCGTACGTGGCCTCTGAGGCCAACACTGCTGATATCTTCACCAAGGCGCTTGCGCCTTGTGATCATCAGCGTTTCTGTACTCAGCTGGGTCTTGTGCCTGCCTTGCCTCACTTGCTCACCTCTTGACCTTGTTTGTACTATTACATATATATATATATACATATATACACCTGCTCTTACTTGTCTAGCCTTTTATATATATGTACTCCTGCATGTGAACTGGCCTTGTGGCCTTGAAATTGTGCTCGGAATGTGTGGTGACTTTGTGATCCACCCTGAGCTTGCTTTGCTTTGCTTGACTGGTCCTGTGACCCCTTGTTCTCCCCCACTTTGCCTATGGGGGTGTGTCAGAACATTATAGCTTATACATGTATGTAGGCTGTAGTGGGGTAGCCCATAAGGGGTACAACCGAATTAGGGTTAGTGTTTGTACCCAACTGTTTCATAGTTCATTCATTCTCGTTTCTTCTCAGCTTGTTAGCTAGTTTGGATTCTAGAACCTTCCACCCTATCCACCTAATATTTTATCCAATGCTGTTTGTTTTTAGCGAGGACATCTTCCGTGGGCCCACTTCGCGTCCCTAAAACTCTCCAAACCCCGGACGTGTCAACTCCCAAGTCATTTCGGCGATCGATCGTGCGGAGTGTACAGTGTTTTGACGAAGTCGTCAAGACAGCGATCGATCGCGCAGTTGTGGCGATCGTGAAAATTTGCCCCAGATTTTTTCAACGTCGCCTGTGGCTAGATGGAGCCCCTCGATCGCAAATCGGCTGTTGGGAACACTGGTGTGGTGATAGATCGGTGTGCAGAACCGAACCTCCCCTGATCTTGCCAATTTGGGAGTTGACGCGTCCTCACGATTTTTCCAATGCTGCTTCTTTTTAGCGAGGACATCTTCAGTGAACACACCTCGCATTTCCCTCCAAGGACATTCTCGCTTTGCAGTTTCGACACCTCCTCGCGTCCCCTCCAAACAACCTTGGTGACCTGATCCATTGAGACAGCAAGTAGCTAGACTTGCCTGCCTTAGTTGCTTTCTTTGCTGCCATGGCAGCGGGCAAGGGAACGAGCGCTGAGAGCTGTAATCGCGTGGATCGCGGGCAGGTGGAGCGAGCCGTGCAGTCGTTAGTCAAATGGATGACCGCACGGCGAAAAGCGAAATCGGAACACGAGCTTTTTGCGGAGGACGACGACGAGCTGATTCACGTGGTAATCGGGCTCAAGTCTTCGCCAGACTTCGCCAAGACGAGCGGGTTTCGCCTGCCGATCCCGCACTCGCTGTATCCATTGGATGCGGGCAAGGAGGTCTGCTTGCTGGTCAATGACGACCCTAAGGGCGGCCACAAAAAGTCCAAGGAGAAGTTTCTGAAGCAGGTCTGTGCGTCGTTCGGAGAGCGAGGCTTCACATTAAGAGGGCTTTGGGGAAGCTGGGGTTTAAGAATGGTTCTATTGCTGTGTGTGAGGAACAAGCGGGTCACGGAGGTTTCTGGATTTCTCTTCAAACGGGGATGGCGGCGCGGGTTTTAAGAGGGTATCGTCGGTCGCTGGAGGGACGTAAATCACCATGCGCGTAATCATTTATGTCCCTCTTCGCAAGGGTGAAATCCTGAATACGAGCATCGTAGTTTTGGCATATCCATCTATACACGTCGCAGCATGACAGCAGAATTCCCACATGAATGCGTGAACGTGAAACTCACTTAATTTCTCTTAGACTCACGCAGACACACGCGGGCGCACGCGGACATGCGTGCATTCGCGCGGACCACACTATGTGCAAACGTCATCAGAAAAGGCAAACATATCCCACCTCATTCTACCCTACTCCACCCTGCTACCCCGTGTTATCCAACCCCACACATCCTCCCCTCTTCGCTCTAGCTCAGGGCTGTCGTTTGGCCAGCGGACATCACCAAAGTCACATGCGTGACGAAGCTTCGCACAAGCAGTACGAGGCCAATCGTGTAACGTGCCCTAGTTTCGCTTCTCCTTTCCACCTTTGCATCTCTCTCCCAGATTCGAGCAGGGATCACTAAGCTGATGAGTCCAACCAATCACAAGCAGTACGATGCCAAGCTCCTCACCATGCCTTATTCTTATCCCGCCCCCACCTACCACTCGCCAGGGTTCAGCACGGGTCACCAAGGTGATTGACCTAACCAAGCTGCGCTTTAAATACAAGCAGTACGTGGCCAAGCATTACTCCCTTCCCCCCCCTTCCTTAATCCCCCCTGGGTTCAGCCGGCATTACCGAGGTGATCGGGCTGACCAAGCTGCGCACCAAGTACAAGCAATGCGAGGCGAAGCCCCTTAACATGCCCTATTTTCCCTCCCTCCCTCCCCACACCACCTTTGAAACTCCCCAGGGTTCAGCCGGCATCACCAAGGTGATCGGCCTCACCAAGCTGCGCACCAAGTACAAGCAGTACGAGGCGAAGCGGCAACTGCTCGGTTCGTACGACCTCTTCCTGGCCGATATTGACATCATCCACCAGCTGCCCCCCCTTATTGGCACAAAGTTCTTCAAGAAGAAGAAGCACCCCATCCCTGTGAAGCTCCGGGGGAAGGAGTGGGCGAAGAGTGTGCGAGAGGCGTGTGACAGCACGTACTTGTATGTGAGTGGGGGCCCATCCATGAGCGTGCGGGCGGCGAGGTTCGGCATGAGCGAAGCGGAGATTGTGGGGAATGTGATGGCGGTGGTGGCGGGGGCGGTGGAGCATGTGCCGAAGAAATGGAAGAATGTGAGCTCGTTGCATATACGAGCCACGGACTCGCTCGCTCTGCCGATCTACATGGCGGAGGTTGATTTGCCGACGAAAATGGCTGTGAAGGTGGCGGAACGGCAAGGGGAGGAGGAGGGTGTGGAAAGGGCGGAGGGAGGAGGGGATAAGGAGGTGGGCAAGGGGAAGAGGAGAAGAGGGAGCACAGGGGGTAAAGTGGGAGGTGTGAAGGCCAAGAAGCCGAAAGTAATGAAGAGGAGGTTGTCGACTTGAAGGGCGCCCGTGGTAAGAAAGGGCCTGCAATCTTGTCGCAAGCTCTTGAAGGGCGCTCGTGGTAAAATTTCTTTGGGAACAGTAAACCGTGCAATATCCCATCCCATGTACCGTACATTCTGGTACATATAACCATCTGTAACATCTATGCAGTCTGCTTATTTCCTTGGGAGCTTGGCTTGCTGAAGTGTTGTTCTCTGCTCTATGTGCTTGCAGCTGCCAAGTGCCATACTCTGCTGCCAAGTCAACACTGTTTTTTGCTGCAGATCAAGTGGGGTGTGGCATTGTTAAGTTTGCAATTGATGTAGGCGGGTGCACTCCTGTGTCGTGGTGTAGCTTTGGCAGGTTCGTGATTCACATCAGTCGGTTCGGTTCGGGCCTCCACTTGGATACACACCTGATCACTAGGTGACTACACATCGGATTACGAGGACTTAAGGGTTTGCTTTGCAGACGAGACAATGCAATGCATACATGCAGGGGCTGGAAGGTGATACCGTATTCTCCCGGACATAACACCCTAGGGTATAGCTAAAAATACAGTGAAAAAATGGGGGGGGTCTCCTCATAGGAAAAAAATACATAATACCCGGGTCTTTACATATGGCATATCTTAGTGTTAGTGTTTTTTTAATTAGTCAATGTGGGTGTTTTGCTGGTCGTTTTAGCATCACTGCCTGAGGCGCGAATGTGAGTTTCGGCCTAGAACTTCATCGCCCCCACGAAAATGGCATGTGGCACCTCTCTTGCCACTTGCAACGGAAGATTCACCTGCACGTGGCGACAGAGAAATAGTGGGAGGGGGCAAATCTCGGCGAAATTTCATTGAGGGAGGAATTCACACGACATTCTTCTGTATTGCAGCTACTCGTTAACGACTATAATAATGAATCCGTAAGAATAGGGGGGGTGTTATAGAAAATCAGCCAAAAAGGGGGGTATAGTAGAAACGAGGTCTATCATAACACCCACCCCGCACAAGCTACCCGGGGGTGTACAATTATGGGGGGGTGTTTTGTCCGGGAGTATACGGTATGAATCTGCTGTCACCCACACGAGCCTGTCTAAAGATTCTGACAGTGGTATGCAAGCTTCTGGAACATACGGTAGTTGTTAGCAGATCACAAGCATTGATAAATTACACAAGCAAGGTCAGTGTCTAGGGGAAAGCAAGACGGTGGTACCAGCAAGTGTATGAGGATAGATTACACAACCCAACAAGGGCAATCACCTAAGGTTCCATGAGATCTGTATGGACTTGAACCAATGCCAGAAACAAGGATTGCAGTGCAGTGATGACAGAAGCAAGAAGTGCTGTGCTGTGCTGTGAGTACCGTAGGTCACATCAAGTGATGCACACGTACAGCACCATCTTTTCATCCTTTTCAGGCCTTCATTCTCCTCTTAGTACTTGTTGGAAACAATCGGTCCTAAGTGCCTCTGTCGTGTCGACACACTAAGGCACAAGCGAAGCAAAGCATATCGAGGCACCAGCGAGTCAACCCTCGGAGGTTGAAGTAACCGCTGGAGGTTACGCGGAAGTCAAAGGTGTTGGGAACAACAAGTCTTAAACGCCTCTGTCGTGTCGAAACTCAGGACACAAGCGAAGCAACTCAAATCGAAGCATCGCGAGTCAACCATCGGAAGTTAAAAGTAACCGCTGGAGGTTACACGAAGGTCAAAGGTCAGCGACCTTTGACTTGACAAATGCAGCGCGACAGCAAGGACATACAACTGACTCGACATTGAGCAGTTGCCCGAGTCGCACTGTATCGAACCGCAACAGTAAAACAGTTTAATTATATCTATTCGTATTCCTTGTACTCTTATATAAACCTTTGTATTTGCTTGTCTTAATCAACTTACTTTGCCCTCACATACCGTATACTCCCGGACAAAACACCCCCCCATAATTGTATACCCCCGGGTAGCTTGTGCGGGGTGGGTGTTATGATAGACCCCGTTTCCACTATACCCCCCTTTTTGCCTGATTTTCTATAACACCCCATTTTCTTACGGATTCATTAGTATAGTCGTTAACGAGTAGCTACAATACGGAAGAATGTCGTGTGAATTTCTCCCTCAATGAAATTTCGCGGTACATTCAAAGGCAATCTGCCGAGATTTGCCCTCTCCCACTATTTCTCTGTTGCCACGTGCAGGTGAATCTTCCGTTGCAAGTGGCAAGAGAGGTGTCACATGGCATTTTCGTGAGGGCGATGAAGTTCGAGGCCGAAACTGACATTCGCGCCTCAGGCAGTGATGCTAAAACGACCAGCAAAACACCCACATTGACTAATTAAAAAATCACTAACACTAAAATATGTTATATGTAAAGACCCGGGTATTATGTATTTTTTTCCTATGAGGAGACCCCCCCCATTTTTTCCCTGTATTTTTAGCTATACCCTAGGGTGTTATGTCCGGGAGAATACAGTACTAACGCAAGGTGGTTCAAGGACTTTTATTCAAACGCTTCCGCTATTACATCATCCTACTTAGACTTTAACTCTACAAAGATCCTAGGGCACCTCAGCCCAACATGGTATGAGAGCAAGTTAGAGTTCCAAGTTATTTTCTTTTAACACTCAATACAAAGAAGACATGTCTGCTAGAAAGGAGAGGAGCTCCTCCAACAACTCTCCCGGCACTACCCCTACTCCACCTCCTGTCTCTGGCCTACAGACAGAGGAAGGGACAACCACGAGACCAGCAGCTGGGTCTACGGAAACACCCGCGGGCTTCGATCAAGTATGATGGAGAAGTTTTTCTCCTTCATGTCCTTCTACGAGCAGCATCAGCAAGGAGTACCTGCGCAGTCAAACAACAGCAACAACAACAACGTGACACCCATGAGTCTCGACGGCTCATCCTACGCACGCGGGAATCAACAACAACAACCTACCTTCGCTCCGTACGAGCCCCAGGGTGGCTCCATCAGCTTCATGCCGCAACCGCAATCTGCACCGGGACAAGAAAGAGCACTGGACGCATTACAAGTTCAATCGCAATTCGCGCATGTCCTAAAGCTTCAAACGACAAAACCCTTCGATGGTAAAGATTTCTTCACCTGGTCGTTCGAATTCGAGCTGATGATGGAAGGAGCACAGATCCTTGGCTTATTCGACGGGTCCCTGCCATATCCAACAAACGGCACGCAGTATGAGAAGCAGCAGTACACCTATCAATCAATGATGGCGTACACAATACTATTGAGGAACATCACCCCGACCCAGCAGCAGAACATCAGAACTTACCGAGGCTACGGCAACTCCGCGGAGCTCGCGTACAACCACCTGAAGAACCTGTATCAAGCAACAGACAGTGTAAACCAAAGCCGGTTAATGGCGCAACTGACAACAATCGAAATTAAACCAGGCGAGAAAGGCATGGCATATATCAGTCGCTGCCGCGAACTGCGCGACAAGCTTCTTCGATGTGGAGGATCAATTTCAGAAGACGCCTTCGTCACGGTAGTCATCGGCGGTCTTGGCCCCCACTGGCGCTCCACTCGCGCCATACTACGAGCACACGGGAGAATCTCCGAAGCAGCACTATGCGCCGAAATCCATGCCGAGCAACAAGACATGGACCTGAAAGAAGAACGACACAAGAAGAAAACGTTAGTACCGGAGTTCGCATTTCACACTCAACGACGCTACAACAACAACAACAACCGGCAACAGCAACAAGTGAAGACAATACCTCCGTTCTGCCACATCTGCAAGACTTCGGGTCATCCTCGTACGCACTGCCCGTCTCGTCAGCAATCGACAACACCACAGCGACAACTTCGGCCTTCAAGCTCCCAAGTCACCTCAACGCAAGCAAATCCGACAACTTCAATCCAAGCTTCAACGACTCCAACAGGACAACCTGCACAAGGAGCAAGAAACATCGTCAACTCCATGGTGAAGATAACAGACTCCTGCACAACCGAGTCACCACCTCACTACTCACCAGAAGAACAACTCGACAACTGCACGCCTCGCCGCGAGTCACTCCAGCCGAACCCGACGTACGCTGCCATCGCTCAGAGCGAACCGTCCGGACAAGACACTTGGTTCTTGGACAGTTGCTGCGGACAACATATGTGCTCCTCAGGACGCTTCGTTCAACGCGAACATCGACTTCAACGAGAGGTAGTCATCACGGTCGCCAACAACGAGAACCTGCGCACACGACGACAAGGAGTAGTACAACTTCAGTCACGAGAGACAAACGTTATATTGCACATGTCAAAGGTGCTAATCGCGGAGGGACTCGGCTACAACTTACTGAGCGTCAGCCAGTTGATGGCGAAAGGCATCCACTTGGAAGCCGACAGCACCACCCAGGAGTTTAAGCTGTACCACGGGAAGGGCGGTCTCTACATCGGAAAGGCGGTTTTAAAGAACAACGTCTTTGTCCTTGATTTCGTCCCAGACCTGGGCACTGCAGACAGCGATGCCATCGTCAACTTCGCCGACTGGACACATCCCCCGGACCTCGATCCCGACTTCAGCCCGGGAGGCTTCTGGTACTCGCATACAATCCCTGAAGCAGAACGAACACGCGCGTTAGCGACAATTCAACAATCGGCAGCAGCAGAAACAACATCGGCAGCAGTAGAGACAACATCGGCAGCAGCAGAGACAACATCGGGAGCAGCAGAAACAACATCGGCAGCAGCAGAGACAACATCGGCAGCAGCAGAAATATCATCGGCAGCAGCAGGACCAACGACACCAGTCTTCGTCGACGAAGCACCACCAACACCCGCACAGCAGCTGAACGCGACTCAACGAGAAGTCCACAGAAGCGCAAACTTCGTCGCCAGTTTCTACTCCAACTCCGACGCGTATCAACGCTCACCCGGACATCGCGCTCCTGAAGACATCTGGCATGCACGCACAGGACATCCAAGCAACACAGTGTTAAACAATACAATACGAGCAGGAGTCCTAGACAAGGATTTGCTACTACTACCCGACGGCAGAGAACTTCAACGGGCACGAGGAACTTGCCTCATCTGCCCCGAAGCCGACTTACCACATCGACCGTTTACTTCCCACCACAACCCGAGCGTACCCGCGTACGCACCACTCGAGAAGGTGTACAGCGATATTCTCTTCAATCGAGAACCGGGACAAGTTACTTACAACTACACGATAACCTTCATCGATGCCGCCACTCGATACGTCTGGCACCGAAACTTACCCAGCCGCGACATGGCACTCGCAGCATTCGCCGCCTGGCTACCAGTAGCAGAGAGAGAATCGGGAACACAGCTGAAAAGCTTCCAGTCAGACGGAGGAGGAGAATACAC